GATCTTTTCACCCAGTCAGAGACCTTATATTGCTATTGGTCATTATGAATCTTAAGGCTCTGAACTTCCATTTTGCTCATCTGGAAAATGGGAAAAGAATAGTGCATACCCTGTAAGGTATGCATTAATTAGAGTTAGCATATGGTAAGGGGTTAGGCTAGTGCATCCTAGAGAACTGAACTATTCCCATTAGTTTCCTTACCAGACTTGTTCTGCTCAAGGCAGTACGGTAGGGTAGGGGGCAGGCTGCTCCATGGGTTGCCCTGACATGGGAGAAGCTTGAGCTAAGGATAATCAGACAGGAGGCCCCCGGCACCCTCTGGGATGAGGACATTCATGCTGCATTTTGCTCCACCCTGGTTTGTCGGTGGAGGGGACCGGTCTCACCTTGACCACTTTTAGCACCCGCACCTCCTGGTCCGGCCCATAATCCCCCTCAAAGTGCTCTTCCCTCAGGAATTGTTGCACAGTCTTCACAGCCTCCAGGATCTCTTCTTTCCAGCCCCGGTGGGGCTGCAGCCACTGAGCCACAAAGGAGTCCAGCTTGGAGGCAGGGGTGTCATACAGCTCCATGGCCTGTGCCATCTCTGAGCCAGAGTACCCCGTCTGCACAGATATATAGCCACACACCTACCCAGTTCCCTGTATACGCCCACTTCTTCAAGGGAGCTCCCTCTCAGCCTACTCCCAGCACCCCGTGGGGAAAAGGGACCAGAGTGGAGAGGCAACCAGGGGTGACTGGGCTGACCTGGGGTCTTCTCCTTGGAATCCCTCTGCTGCAGCAGGGGCACTGAGGGACTGTCCAGCTGGGAGTTCTGGGGCCACCTTAACAAGCTTGGCTTCCAGCTTCATCTCTTTTGCTATTAGTTTCTATTCTCAGCTTTCAGTTTCCATTTATGATGTTTAGAAACTGAAATTGGCTTGGGTTTGGCCCTCGAGGAGGCAACTCTCCCAGGAGGCCAGGGTGGGTTGGTATCCAACAATCCAGTCATCTCCACTGTGTTATAGGAACCTGAGCAGGCTCAGAAAGGAAAGGGACTTGCTCACAGTTTTGGGTTGAGCAGCAGGAACCCCCGAGAGTCCAGCAGAACAGACTTTCAATTCCAGTCTGCCCCCACTTTTTAAAAGATTTTATTTATTTATTCATGAGAGAGAGAGAGAGAGAAAGAGAAAGAGAGAGAGGCAGAGGGAGAAGCAGGCTCCATGCAGGGAGCCCGACATGGGACTCGGTCCCGGGACCCCAGGATCACACCCTGGGCCAAAGGTAGGTGCAAAACCGCCGAGCCATTCAGGGATCCCCTCCAGTCTGCCCTTTGCCACACTCTTAACTTCTCTGACCCTCCCGTAATTTATCCATGAAAATGGGTTTACTAATGACACCCTACCCCATAGGTTGTTGTCCAGATCATGAATGAGAGCGCTGAGCATGGAAAGCATTCAGTAAATGCAAATATTATTATTTGTTCACTAGATACCTTTTGAGCACCTGCTAGGTCCCAATGTGTTAAATAGACAATACGTCGTTCCTGGGACATCTGTGTGGCTCAGCAGTTGAGCGTCTGCCTTCGGCTCAGGGCGTGATCCCGGGATCCGGGATCAGGTCCCACATTGGGCTCCCCACAAGGAGCCTGCTCCTCCCTCTGCCTATGTCTCAGCCTCTCTGTGCGTCTCTCATGAATAAATAAATAAATCTTAAGAAAAAGATGTCATTCCTGTCCCAAGGGGCTCCAAGAGTGGTAGGAGAGAGGGTCCAGTGTGAGCCTTAAAAGACTGGGGATCTGGCCAGGAAGGAAGAGGAGGGCATCCTGCAGGCAAAGTAGCAGTCTAAATGACCCTGATGAGTGTCAGGGATTCAGTTGTCAAATATTCATTGGCACGGAAGGAGAGGAGGCAGGAGGTGGGAGATGTGCCTGGACAGGTGGGCAGGGGTTGTATATCGGAGTGCCATCATTCATCCATTCATTCAATGAGTATTTATTGGGTAGCTACTATGTGCTGGGGGTAGAGCAGTGAATAGACAAAAATCCCTGCCTGCAGAGGACTTACATTCTGATGGTGGAGACAAACCATAAACAGGATAAATAAGTCAAACTATAGTAAATAAGGTGCTAAGCAGAAGAAATAAAGCAAGGCAAGAGGTTAAGATGTATATATGTGTGCCTGTGCGTGTGTGTATGTGTGTGTGTGTGTGTGTGTGTGTGTATGGTTGATTAGATGTTCAGTCTCAAATAAGGTGATTGGAAAGGCCTGAAAAAGAGATATTTGAGCAAAGACATGAAGGAGGCGAAGTGAGTCATGTGTATGCCCAAGGGAAGAGGATAATTCACTGCAGAAGGAGCAGTAAGTGCAAAGGTCCTGTGGTGTCAGTGTGCCTCATAGGTTTGAGGAAAAACAGCATGACTGGAATGGAATGATCAAAGGGAGAGACTGCAAGGAGATAAGGTTTAAGTGATAAAGGGCTGGGGAGCAAATAGTGTAGGATCTTGAAGATGATTAAGACTGACTTTCACTCTGAATGAAATGGGGATCCTTGGAGAGTTTCAAGCAGAGGAGTGACATGGTCTGACTTTCATTTTAATGAGATCATACTGGCTGTGGGCCGGTTGGGAGGATGGCGGTGGGGAGAGGTTAGATTAAAAGCAGAGAGTGGTGGTGGAGGTGAGAGGGGAAGCAGGAGCTCAGTTAGGAAGCTACTGCAATAGTCCCAACAGGAGGGCATCTGGGTGCTCAGTCCGTTAGGCATCTGCCTTCGGCTCAGGTCATGTTCTCGGAGTCTTGGGAAGGAGCCCCACATTGGACTCCCGGCTCAGCGGGGAGTCTGCATCTCCCTCTGCCCCCACCCCTTCCTGCTCATGCTCTCTCTCAAATAATTAAATAAAATCTTAAAAAAAAAAAAAAAAGTCCTACCAGGAGATCTGGCAGCTTGGATCAGGACGGTGGTGGTGAGGGTAGGGAGAAGTAGTATGATTTAACTTTTTTATTACGGAAAATTTCAAACATAAACAAAAGTGGAGTAACAAAAGGAACCTCTGTGTACCATCACACAGCTTCAACAACTATCCAACCGAGTAAGGAGAGTAAGGAAAGGGTTAAGGTATAGGCAGGGAGAGATAGGGGGCCCCTGACTAGGCTCTGAAACTATTCCTGGCAGGCAAAATCTCTAAGACAGAGTGAACAAGAGATAAGGGAATAGATCAGACCACCTGGCCCCGGATGTTAGGGACTGTTTTTCTTTGGAGGCTACATTGTAATCACAGAAAATGACCAGACCTTAAAGAAGGAAGTCATCAAGGGTTTTGTCATGGTCCTTGCTCAGACCAAGAGGGTAACAAGAATCTCAAGAGGGCATAAGCTTCCTAGCCAAGTTTGCAATAAAAGACTGGCCTTAAAAACCTTCAGTGGCAACCCATTCGGGACCCCTCTCAATCTAGAGAGCTTTTTCTTTTCTTGCTGTTCTCACCCTAATAAACTTTCACTGCACCTCCCCCTTCTGTGCCCGCGAGGTCCATTCTTCGACTCTGTGAGACAAGATCCCTGCAATCCTGCAACAGAACTGCAGACAATCTTTCAATTCGCATCCACATCTCCTCTCCGGTGTAATTTAAACGTGAATCCTAGATTTCACACCATTTCCCTGTGTCTACCTTGAATATAAACAGGTCCTGCTAATGGATAGAAGGTGATGTGAGACAAAGACTGGATTCAAGGACAACACAGAGGCTTTGACCTTGACAGCTGGAAAGATGGAATTGTCCTTACCTGAGACAGGAAAGACTGGGAAGGGCGCAGTGTAGAAACCTCTAAGCCTCGTATTCTCATCCGTAAAAGGGGAGGCAGCATTAATCCTACTCCACCTAACTTCTGGGGCGGCTGTGAGGATAGGAATCAAATGACATTATGTCAATAGACACGCTTGGTGTCAACACCTTGTTGATGCACGGAATTCTTAATTTACTGAGGCATAGAAAAAAAGAATTTTATTGAGCTGCGAAAACAGATCTTAGTCAACGCTTTTGGATACCCAACCTCACTCAGTGAGTAGCTGTTCATTCCATTTAGGCTGATGAAAAGTTATGGAAGAATTTGATTAAAAAGAAAACAACAACAACCAGGGCAGCCCGGGTGGCTCAGTGGTTTAGCACTGCCTTCGGCCCAGGGTGTGATCCTGGAGATCCGGGACCGAGTCCCGGGTCGGGCTCCCTGCATGGAGCCTGCTTCTCCCTCTGCCTGTGTCTCTGCCTCCCTCTCTCTGTCTCTCATGAATAAATAAAATCTTAAAAAAAAAAAAAAACAGGCAGGTTGGGGTGCCTGGGTGGCTCAGTCCATTAGGTGTCTGTCTTCAGCTCAGGTTGTGATCCCAGGGTCCTGGGATCAAGCCCCATGTCCAAGGCAGGGGGAAGCTGCTTCTCCCTCTCCTTTTATTCCTCTCCCTATTCCTCCTCCTCCTCCTCTCTCTCTTTCTCTCTCTTTTCTCTTGCTCACGCTATCTCTCAAATAAGTCTTTTTTATTTTTTTTTCAAATAAATCTTTTTAAAAAAGGGGGTTAGGTCTAACAGCACCCAGGCAGTATTTTGCCCTGGGGCTGTGTGAGCACTTTTGATTCTCTCTTGCTATGCATGGCTTCATTCTCTGTGTGGGGGGCTTTTCACTCATATGCAGACTTAAGCTTTGGCTGCTCTGCTCTGACTGCATTTCTTCTCAGACATTCACTCTCATAACTATACCAGGAACTGCTGTACTTGATCCCACCACCCAGGGCTCACAATCTGAGAGGCCAAGTAAAACCAGGAGATGGATTCTATGCTAGGTCAGCTGATCACTCTCGGTCCATTTAGGTTTGGACACATGAATGAAGCTATTGGGTAGGAGGACCCCGGCGAACGTGGGCAATTTCAAAGAATGAGACATAGGAGGGAGTATCCCAGACCATGTGGTCTCCAAAATGGCATTGGACTGAGACCCTCACAAAGACAATAGGGAAGAATTCAAAGTCATTCTTTGGTTCGTTCATTTATTCAGTTAGCATGTGCTGAACATGTGCACCAGGCAAGCAGCATTCTAGACTATGGGGACATAGGAATAAGGTACTTGTCAAGCCTCATTAGACCAGGTAGACTGATGACCCAACAAAGGAACACAATGAGGGTCCCAAGTGCTTTCACAGAAGTCCGAATCGGGTGTAGAAGCAGGAAGTGATGCAGTTGGCTATATGGGGCTTCTAGCAATGGTTCTCAAACTTGAGCATGCACTAGAATTACTTGGAAGGCTTGTTAAGATTGCTGATCAGTGAATCAGATTGCTGATTCACTCAGGTGAATCTGGGATAGTTGCTGAGAATTTTCATTTCTAAGATGTCCCCAGGTGATATGCTGATTCTGCTGGTCTGGGGTTCATGCTTGGAGAATGATGACTTAGAGCTTTGAGTTTTGAAAGATAGAAGCACAAGAGAAAGGGATGGTTGAGTCGGTCACCGTGTCATGATCAGGCATTTAGTACTCTGGAGCTGCATGAGTATGGGCACCTCTGGTGTGTTTTGTGAAGAGGAGAGACTGAGAAGCAAGCAAGGGCAAAATTGTCAAGGACCTTGAATGCCCAGCAAAAGAACTGGAACTTTATTCTATAGGTAATAGGAGCCATTGGAGGACATCATGCAGGGAAGGATAGATTCCTATTTATGCTTCTAAAAATCACAGTTGTCTGGGTAGAAAGGGGTAGGTGAGAGAACAGCGCCATAGAAGTCTACATCATGTAAAAGTCTGATCATGGGTAGTCCTGGGGACCTGTGGCTTCTCCTAATGAGTGTGATTGTGTCACAGTCTTTGATCTGTAGGTCTGAGAGGCTGCGGTGATTCCACAGTCTCCGATTCTGGAACTTTAGTATCTGATCCTCCACGTGAGGTCCTCCGGCTTCCTCAATCTTCTCTTTCAAGTCACGGATAGAGTCCTCAGGGTAGATGGCATAAGGTTTGCTCTGGCCACTAGAGTCCTTCACGAAGACCTGGATCTCAGAAGGGAAGGTCTCTAATACCCGGATGTTCACTTTAGAGAAGATCCCATAATGTGCAAGTGTCTGCTGGCTGCTGAGCAGCTGCCGTTCCCCTCCTGGCTCCTGGAAAGAGAGACGCTGCTGCCCGTAGAAGCCAAACGTCCTCTTGATCTCTGCTTTCATCTTCCAGATGGGACTGTGAGGGTCCACTGAGAATGTCTGGGGCTCCTCTCCTGCCTTTTTCACTAGCACCTGGACATTTCTTGCTGGCTAGTAGGGAAGGAGAAGCAGATAAGGATGTCAGGCACTGGGATATATGGTCAAGGATATTCATTGTAAGGTCCAAAGTCTGGAGCAGTCTAAAATTCTTTCAGTGGGGCAATGGTCATAAAAGAGAAGGTATTTTCCTACTTTCCTCTATTGGATCACAATATAGCTATTAATCCAGGGTGACCCGATGTTCCCACTGGTCTAGGGCAGTCCAGGTGTGTGTCCCTTGTTCTGGCATAAGTAGCATCACAACATTTCATGCTCAAAAATATCCTGGTTTGGACTTTCTGTTATATGGTCATACCCTTTTAGTTCTATAGGTGTGGATACAGAATTGTCTTTCTGATAATTGAGGAACCAAATCACCTAATAGTTTAAGTAAATAAAAGTAAAAAGGCAAAAAAAAAAAAAAGGTAAGATTACAGTTAGAATGTGCTAGTGTGCAGGTGGCGTATCTATCCATGGGAAGAGACGCAAGACATTGATCAGTGGATGTTGGGGAGAGGCTTGAGATGGGAGGGAAACTTATTTACTCACTTGCTTACTTCATTGATTTATTTTAAAAGATTTGATTTATTTATTTGAGAGAGAGTGTGAGATATCACAGAGGTAGAGGAAGAGGGAGAAGCAGCCTTGCTGCTGAGCAGGGAGCCTGATGTGGGGCTCCATTCCAGGACCCTGGGACCATGACCAGAGCCGAAGGCAGACATTTAACTGACTGAGCCACCCAGGCATCCCAGAAACTGACTTTGTGTGTTCTTTTTGAGGGTTTGATATTTCCTTTCCTAAAAATGTGTGCTACTTTTTCACAAAACAATATTTAAAAGATTTTGGCATTCCATGTGAACTTCGGGTAACATCTGCCCATAAAGGACCAGATGAAACTCTGAGGATTAAAGCAGAGTATGAAGGGGATGGCATTCCTACTGTATTTGTGGCAGTGGCAGGCAGAAGCAATGGTTTGGGACCAGTGATGTCTGGCAACACTGCATACTCAGTTATCAGCTGCCCTCCACTCACTCCAGACTGGGGAGCTCAGGATGTGTGGTCTTCTCTTCGACTACCCAGCGGTCTTGGCTGTTCGACCATACTTTCCCCAGAAGGATCAGCTCAGTTTGCTGCTCAGATATTTGGATTAAACAACCATTTGGTATGGGCTAAACTTTGAGCAAGTATATTGAACACATGGATTTCCTTGAAACAGGCTGACAAGAAAATCCAAAAGGGCAATTTATAAAACATCATTGCTTTTTTTTTTTGTAGAAAAACTATACATTTCTTGTTTAGTTTCAGAAAAAAAATCAAGATGAAAAGTTTTTAAATCAATCAAAATAATAAAATTTACTAGTGAATAAATGCTTCTCTAGATTCATGGGGAAAAAAAAAAAGAGTTGGAAGACTGTTCATGAATCTTGCCTCACAGTGGGGCAGAGTGGGGAAAGAGGTGGGATTGGGGGGAGTGGAGCTCCCAGTCTGTTGGACATGACAGCCAATGGGCCTGGGCTGGGTGGTGGGTCCTTCTCATCCACCATGAGGGAGCTGCTACAGATTTGCCTTTGATTTGCCTTGAGGCCAGCTTCAGAATTTCCCTGCAGGCTATGAAATGTGGGACTGGTAACGATTTGAGCTGATAGCAATGTCCTGGTCTCTGAACCCTGGATTCCTATGTGGTGTTCAGACCCAGGACTGCTGTGACAGTGTGGGAAAAGCCATGCACAAGGTAGCTGCGGGACTGGCATTGCTGTCTGCAGTGGAATCCTATGCTCCTTCCTGATTGCTTCTGGATACATCATTAAATCTCTCTCTCTCTCTCTTTTAAGGTTTTATTTGTTTATTCATGAGAGATACACAAAGAGAGGCAGAGACACAGGCAGAGGGAGAAGCAGGCTCCCTGCAGGGAGCCATTGCTTAACTCAATCCCAGGACCTTGGGATGATGATGGTCTAGGCCGAAGGCAGATGAGCGCTCAACCACTGAGCCACCCAGGCATTCCTCTCTTTTTTTTTTATTATTTTTTCCCTCTCTCTTTTTTAAATAAAGATTTTATTTATTCATTTGAGAGAGAGACAGAGAGAGAGAGAGAGAGAGACAAAGGGGGGGGAGGGAGAGAGAGATAGAAAATGCACACAACCAGGGGAGAAGGGCAGAGGGAGAAGCAGATCCCCACTGAGCAGGATCCTGAGATCATGACCAGAGCCAAAGGCAGAAGATGCCCAAACCACGTGCCCCAAATCTCTCTCTCTTTTTTTTTTAATATTTTTATTTTTATTTTTTAATTTTTATTTATTTATGGTAGTCACACAGAGAGAAAGAGAGAGGCAGAGACACAGGCAGAGGGAGAAGCAGGTTCCATGCACCGGGAGCCCGACGTGGGATTCGATCCTGGGTCTCCAGGATCGCGCCCTGGGCCAAAGGCAGGCGCTAAACTGCTACACCACCCAGGGATCCCTCTCTCTCTCTTTTTAAATAAGTTTATTTATTTTTTAGTAATCTCTACACCCAACATTGAGCTTGAACACAACTCTGAGATCAAGAGTCACATGCTCTTTGACTGAGCCAGCTTGGCACCTCTTAAATCTCTTTTTTTGACAGCAAGAAGTTGAGCTTTCAACAACCCATAATAGGGAATATGTTACCCCACAGGGGTATGTATGTATGTGATAAATTCTTTTGGTTATCTCTCAAATGGCTATAGAGCAGGGCAGAAACTGGCTGCCCATTTCACAGATGAAAGAACTGAGGCCCAGGGACTTGGAACAGAAGGGGAAAACTTGCACAGCTGGTTGGCTGGGACATCTCCATGGGCGGAGGGGGGGCGGTGACCTGTCCTGAGGTCTTAGAGGCACTATGGCAGAAGTTGAGGGGATTCATGGGGGGAGGGGCTGAAGGGAGGTCATCACTGAGTCATGACTGAGGGGTGGGGGTGATGGTACCTGTACGTGCCAGCCCTGGCTGGGGTCTTCAGTCCTGCAGCAGGCCTGTCTCAGGCAGCGAGCAGCCTCTTTGGCCACCAGATCCCATCTCTTTTTACTTCCCAGGTTGTTGGTAGGATCGGCTGGGTCCAAGATAACTGGTCTGGGAGAAAGAAAAGGAGTGGATCTCCATCACACTTAGGACTCTGGCCTCTGTAACTCAAGTATCTGGGACTTCCTGCAGCTAAAGCTCTTGGTTCATGATTAGAAGTGTAAGCTAAGTTGGCCCAATCAGAGTGAATCTCATGGATTCTGCTTAGAATGCTAGGGCAGGGGCGCCTGAGTGACTCATCTTTGGCTCAGGTCCTGATCCCCAGTCCCACATTGTGGGCTCCCTATAGGGAGCCTGCTTCTCCCTCTACCTGTATCTCTGCCTCTCTCACAGTCTCTCATGAATAAATAAAATCTTAAAAAGAAGAAAAAAGAATTCTAGGGGAAAGGTGCTTTCCCTCCTTTGGAGTGCAAAGGAGGAGTCCAGATGACAAGACTGGAACTGATGTCGTTATGTTAGCCTGAATTCAAAGGCAAAACCCAGGGGAGGGACAGGCTGAGTGATTTCACAGAATGGGACCCTGATGAAATAGTGACCATTTGTATCACACTATACCTGAAGCTTCATTTATCCTTGGACTTCTCAGTTACAAAAGCCAATAAATTCTCCTTAATTTAAAAACTATATGAGTTGGGTTTTTCCATTCCTGGCAGCTGAAATTAATGCAACCAACACACTCACCTGCATTCTTTCAACTGTTGTTTGATATGGATTCTGACAGTCTCATTTTGGAAATCATAGTACTTGGTCCAATATATGCAGATGTCTTCATAATCTAGGAGGAGTTCCATCACAGCTCTAAACCCTTCGTCCAGGTTGAAGTTGTCGCTTTTGTCTGTACCTATTTCCCAGGCGTAGATAGTCAATAGCTCAAATGCATATTTTGGGGGCAATGCTGCGTTTCGATATTTAGGTTTCAAGCACTTCAAGGTTGGGGAGAGAGGGAGAGAAGGAAAGAAGGAGGGAGGGAGAGAGAATGAATATGAGATGCTACCCTGGGAATTGAGAATTTACATGTCTCTCTATTTCCAGGTCCCAGTAATACTTTGTCAATTTCAGGAACATCTGGCTGGCTCAGGTGATAGAACATGGGACTCTTGATCTCAGGGTTGTGAGTTCAAGCCCCACGTTAGGTGTAGAGCTTGCATAAAAACAAACAAAAATAGTAAAGAAAAGAACTACTTTGTCAACTCTATTTTACATTTGGATTATATACCACATCCATGAAATTTGAAATGGGCCCAGCAGCCTGGTCTCTAGATAGATTATGTCCTGGTTTCTAGATGGATTACATCCTGCAGCCATCAAAATTTCAATGAAAGAGAAAATTGGAGCCTCTCATGGACCTTCTGGGCCTCATCAACCTATGTGGGTTTTTTTTTATTTTCAAAGATTTATTTACTTGAGAGAGCAAGGGAGAGAGCACACAAGCAGGGAGAGGGGGAGGGGCAGTGGGAGAAGCAGACCCCCCACCTAGCAGGGAGCCCCACAAGGGACCGGGTCCCAGGATCATGACCCGAGCCAAAGGCAGACATTTAATCGTTTGAGCCACCTGGAGGCCCCCATCTTTTTCTCTTAAAAAAAATGTTAGTATGTGCACGCCCTCCCTCTTGCCCCTGCACCCAGCCCTGTACCTGCAGATACCAGTGCTTCACCATCCGTAGGAGGTTCTTCAGCTTAACAGGGCAACTTTTCACAAAGTGCCTCTGCAACTCTGTGAAGCTTGGCGAGAACTCCCCTGGGGGGCCTCCACTGGTTATTAAATCTTCATAGATTTCTGGTGATGGTTTAAAGTCGGAGGAAAAATGTCCTGGGAGAGAAAAGGACCTGGTTCAAGAAAATCCATCCTTTGAGGAGAGGAATATGGGGAAAAAAACCTGCTAGGTATAGAGTGTTCATAAATTATCTCACACAGTCCTTACTACCGCATTCTTTTCCCCACTTTACCATAAAACAAGTGGAAGCTTACAGGGTTTGGGAACGCCCTCAGAAGTCACAGAGATTTTAAATAATTCACAGTGGCCAAAGACTTACCATGTGTCAGACACTGGGCTAAACTCATGGAATCCTTAGAACAGCTCCATGAAGTAGGTAAAATTAAGAGGAACTACAGGGAGTGCCAGTGTTTGTGGATCAAACACGGTCAAATATTGTCAATTTCCTATGGTTCAGCCTAATATTATCCCACTTAACAGGTTGGTACATTGAATCTTGGAGGTGTTAGATCTTGTCCAAGATCACAGTTAGTGAATCAAGCCAAAATTTAAAAATATTAAGGGTCCTGTTTTTTAAAATGATTGCCATCTAACTCCAAAGACCTTGACGTGCTCACTTGTCCTGGTGTTTCCCAGAGGGTCAGAGAAGAGACTCCTCCTTGGGTTGGGTGGGAATCCAGATGTCCCCTCTCTCCCCAACATGGGACATGGTAGCGCATGCATTTATGGAAGGACTGAACTCCCAGGTACAGCTCTAGTTGCAGCCCCCTAGAAAAAAAGCAAACTCTACTTTCTCCCCCCTGGTTTCTACTTTTCTAAACCTCCCCAAGTCCAGATCAGTGAAGGGTCCCTGACTAGCTTCCCTGGCCTCAAACCATCATTGTCTTTACCCAGAGCATCATAAGCTGGGAGCACATCCACTCCAATGACTTCACTGGTCTTTCTGGCCTGGACCTGGAAGGACAGGGAGCGGGGGACCCTGGTTGTCTCTTTCTGAGGGACGATGGTGATGCTGTAGGCCAGGTTCTTGCTATGCTGAATCAGTCTTTTCTTGATGAAGCTGATGATTGATCTGCGGTGTGCTGCTTGGTCTTGGAAGCTAGAGAAGCAGCTCAGGAATAAAACCAAGTCCACATCAGAGCTGTAGTTCAACGTTGTCCCCTTCCCAGAAGAGCCACCCTGTGGAGGACATTGATGTTGAAGCTCCACCTCCCTCAGGGCCTGGAGCTTTGAGGTCGGGGTGAAGCCAGCAGCACCCATGTTAGGCTGTTTACACGGATGCCAAAAGGAGCCTTTGGTCTCCTCCTCCCTACTGGTGGGGACTTTGCTGACCACATCTTTTAGTTGAGTTAGAAAAATTAAGTACATAATAAACTATTCAAAGGATATAAATGAAATGTAAAGTGCCATGGGCACCTCAGGCACCCATAGTTACCAGCTTCTTATAGATCATCCCAGAGATGCTTGATGCCTAAACACATGGTATCCAATATGGTAGCCAAGAGCTACATGTGGCTATTTCCATTTAAGTGGAATGAAATTTAAAAATTCAGTTTTGGGCAGCCCAGGTGGCTCAGCAGTTTAGCGCCGCCTTGAACCCAGGGCCTGATCCTGGAGACCCGGGATCGAGTCCCACATCAGGCTCCCTGCATGGAGCCTGCTTCTCGCTCTGCCTGTGTCTCTGCCTCTCTTTCTCTCTCTCTCTGTGTCTCTCATGAATAAATAAATGAAATCTTAAAAAAAAACCTTTATATAAAACAATAAAAAAATAAAAATTCAGTTTTTCAGCCATACTAGACTCACTTCAACTGCTCAACAGCCACCCACAGAGAGTGATGGGAAGAGCATGTATAGAACATTTCCATCACTAGGAAAGTTCTACTGGGCAGCTCTGGCAAGCATATTTTTACATACAAATTTTGTACATACATTTAGTGTGTATGCACAAATATATTTTTCAGACTTCATGTGTGCGCATGTGTGTTTATGCAGGGATGCTGGAAACCCTAGTGCATCGGCAGCAGGCATGTTCAGAGAATGAGTCCCAGGTGTAGCCTTGAAAGGTGCATCATAAATCTTTCCTCTTGAATAAGAAACAAGCAGGAGGGATCCCTGGGTGGCACAGTGGTTTAGCGCCTGCCTTTGGCCCAGGGCGCGTTCCTGGAGACCCGGGATCGAATCCCACGTCGGGCTCCCGGTGCATGGAGCCTGCTTCTCCCTCTGCCTATGTCTCTGCCTCTCTCTCTCTCTCTCTCTCTCTCTGACTATCATAAATAAATAAAAATTAAAAAAAAAAAAGAAAAAAGAAACAAGCAGGAAAAGGAATCTGAATGTTATGGACAAGCATACAAATCCAGGCACAAGGCGATGATGGGGATCCCCCACCAGAGGAGGACAGAGGATGGAAAGTCCTACCTGCCCTTAATTCATTTGCAAGCCATTGTCCTCTTGCCAGGTCCTTTCTGCCACTTAGTGCTGATGCACTTGGCAGAGGATGAACCAGAAAACCACATGTGCCTAGTATTTGGTCAAAAGAAATCTCAACAAGAAAAGCAGAGATTGAAGTGTAGAAAGGCAACCACTGGGGGTGTCTGGGTGGCTCAGTCGGTTGGGCATCTGCCTTCAGCTCAGGACATGACCCCGGGGTCCTGGGATCGAGTTCCACATCGGGCTCTCTGCTCACTGGGGACCCTGCTTCTCCCCCTTTTCCTCCCCCTGCTGGCGCTCTCAATCTCTTTCTCTCAAATAAATACATAAAATCTTTAAAAGAAAAAAAGAAAGGTAACCAATGTCCTGGGGAGTGCTTTTTTAAAGACTCTCACCCACATTTCAGTGGTTGTTGCTCTGCCTGCCATAGCACCTTCAACCTCTAAATCCTGGCAGTTCTGAGGGGTGGTCTCTGCTCCTTGTCTAAACAACCTGAAATGAACATGTCCTCTGAGGAAGGAGACCTGGAGGGCTCCTTCAGTAGGCAAAGAAGGGGGGTGGCCCTTCTCTGTCCCACATACAATAAGTTGATTTTATTTGGAAATAATTATAGATTTGCAGAAAGATAGTTTAGAGAGGTCGGCTGTGCTCTTCACCCAGTTTCCTCCCAATGGTCATGTCTTATGTAAATATAGCCAGCAAATCAACACCAATACACTGCACGTAGTGCTAAGACATTTTATCACATGTGTAGATTCCTGTAATCGCCACTGAAATCAAGATACAGAACAATTCGGGATCCCTGGGTGGCGCAGCGGTTTAGCGCCTGCCTTTGGCCCGGGGCGCAATCCTGGAGGCCCGGGATTGAATCCCACGTTGGGCTCCCGGTGCATGGAGCCTGCTTCTCCCTCTGCCTATGTCTCTGCCTCTCTCTCTCTCTCTCTCTGTGTGACTATCATAAATAAATAAAAAAAAAGATTTTATTTATTTATTCATGAGAAACACACACACACAGAGGCAGAGACACAGGCAGAGGGAGAAGCAGGCTTCATGCTGGGAGCCCGATGGGGGACTCGATCCTGGGACTCTAGGATCACGTCCTGGGTCGAAGGCTGGCACTAAACTGCTGAGCCACCAAGGGATCCCCATGTATGTGACGTTTTGAAGCTGGCTTGTCTATTTTCATTTAGCACAGCGCCCACCCCACCCCACCCCCCCTTTTTTTAAGTGGAGCCCAACAAAGGGCTTGAACTCACAACCCTGAGATCAGGACCTGAGCTGAGATCAAAAGGCAGTTAACTAAACTGATGGGCCACCCAGGCGCCCCTAGTACAGTGCTTTCGACATCCATGCAGTTCCACAAATTACTAGTTTGCTCTGCTGTAATCACCTTTCTTATAGGTTGTCTCTCGAGTTTTGACTTCAGTCCCCAATTTGTCTGCTTACTGTTTACTTTTCAGAGTTCTCAGATTCTTGCTTTTTGGTGTCTGTCCAGAGTTTTAGCTGCAATTTGTGTGTGAGAGAGTTTGTACTCCTTACTTCATCTTGGCTGGCACCAGAAATTACTAGCATTAATTTTTGAAAATCATGAGGGATTTTTGACTTCAGATTCCTATGCAACCTTAATTTTGGCACCAGCTTCCTTCACCCGATGAAACAGAATAGCAGGAAAAATAAGGAAGAATATGGATGTTAGTGGGTGGCAGTGATCAGGCCCAGCAAGAGACATCTTTGAAAAAGTTACTTCTGGTCCTAGAAGACTCTCCAGGCCACTCATAGTAGGAAATCCAATGAAATCAGTACATCAAACTCAAGAAAATTACAGCACCCTCACCACAATAGAGATGAAACCTGAAATAGTAGATGCAATTAAGAAAGTCTAGTGCTCAACCATTTCCAGAAAGACAAAGAACTGTTGAATTATGTAACCTCTTCCTTCCTCTTCATATAGAAACAGAAACATTTGTTACAAACATGTGTCCTTTTGGCTATTGCTGGTTTACCAATGTTTATAGGGTGTTTAACTCCATAAATATTTGGCTCTAGGCATTTTTTAAAAATTTAAATTCAATCTGCCAGCACATAGTATAACATCCAGTGCTGGCTCTAGGCATTTTTGATAATAGTTGGACATAGTTATTGTAGGAGTATTTAAACTTCTAGAAATAAAGATCATTGAAAGAACAAGAGGAAAAGGAAAGTGATTTTTTTCCCTTCTCCAAATAGTCACCACTTGACATATACCCATAAAGGTGAGAATGGGAACTTCAAGACATGAGTATTTGAAGTAACATAAATGGCAGGTCTCCAATGGAAACACAGCATCTTCAAATCCATAGAAGAGCTTTATTTGGAACATATGTTAAAATACTTGAACACTTTCAAACTCATCCTTTAGAGACTATGCATCCCATTTCCGAGTCTGATGGGGACTTCCTTATTTGGTTTTAGGTCCTGAAAGCAAAGATACTCATGGAGCTCTATAGTAGCATACATTTCAATTACTCCAGGAAGTTCAGATATGTGGAAAAGCCAGAGCCCAGAAGCACAGAGTTTGTATCTTTTTAAGCAACTACAATAGTTTGTATTTCTTGAAATTCCATTTGGAAGCTCATGCTTTGCTGATGACACCTGAATCTTTTATTTAAAGATTCTTTGGGGTGCCTGGGTGGCTCAGTCAGTTGGGTGACCAACTGTTGATTTTGGTTCAGAGCATGATCTCGGGGTCATGGGATCGAGCCCTGTGTTGGGCTCTGCGCTCAAAAAGGTATTTGCTTGGTATTCTCTTGCAATTCTTTTTTTTTCTCTTGCAATTCTTTAAAGCTGCATATCCTTTCTTTGGCAGCCACAATGTTACAGAATTTGTGTCCCCTCAGGCCTGGGGTTCTTGGTCACACCATTTTGAAGAATGAAGAGGTAGACCAGACAAAGAATGGTGGGCAGCAAAGCAAAGTTTATTGAGCAATAGTGCAAAGCTCATGGAGAGGGAGGGGACCCAAGAGGTTGCCATTTTGGCATTCAAATCCACAGATTTTTATAAGCTCTTTTGCAGAACAATCTTGAGCATCCTGAGTGTGGGCCCTTTGTGGATTGGCCACTCACGTGTGCCACTCAGGGCTTTGATCATGCACCTGTATACCTATTGGGTTACTGTTCACGTGCTGATTGTCTTTTGGACATTTGGACACCAACTGTCTCAACTTGTGATAACGACCAATGGTTTATGGTTGTTTTGTTTCAGGATGTTTTGTAAAAGTCACTCCTGCAGAGACTGCTAGACGGGATGCTACTGTGGTGCTAAGATGTAAAACAGGATGCTAGTGTGGTTTTGTGTTAGCTGTCCTGGTTCCCTGTTTTCTTGTGGGGTACCCTGGCGCTGACTACCTAAATGTCCAATTAGTTCCTAACAATACCACCCCCCTCCATTAGGCTTGATTTATTTAATAATTAGATGTATGAAAATTAAGGGAAGCCTCACAAAACAAAGTCTGAGGCCAGAGGGCGAGGCCCTCAGGAAGAGTAGTGGAACTGAATGCCAAATAAAGGAACCATCAATTACAGACTCCCCAACAGAACTGTAAATAGGAAAGAAACCTCAATTATAGGCTCCAGGGTGCCTGGGTGGCTCAGTGGTTGAGCATCTGCCTTTGGCTCAGGTCATGATCCAGGGGTCCCAGGATGGAGTCCCACATTGGGCTCCCCATGTGGAGCTCGTTTCTCCCTCTGCCTATGTCTCTGCTTCTTTCTCTGTGTCTCTCATGAATAAATAAAATCTTAAAAAAAAATGCAGGCCCTAACATGAAAAGATGTACATTGCATTTTCTATAAGAAATTGACTACCCCAGCAATTCAGCCAATGAGAAAGTCTCATCACTCTGAATAGGCTTCCCTTCAAAATAATCTCTCCAACTTCCTCTTCCTTCTTCCTAAATTCCTCTTTTGTGTGTTGGACTTCCCTATGGTCTGGCCATAGCTGGCCTGTGCTGAGTTACCATTCTTTGTTATTCCTATTAAACTCATTTTGCCGGTAAAATAACTGGCTGGGGTTTTTTTTTTTTTTTTTTTTTTTTTGGTTAACAGATATCTTTCATCTAGCAAAAATTGGCAACACCTAGACCGATGATGATCAAGACACCTGATTTAGGGTGATATGTTAAAAGTTGAGTTACAATGTAGTACTTTCCAGGAAAAATCCCCGCAGAGACTGCTAGACAGGATGCTATTGTGGTGCTAAGGTGTAAAACAGATCGTGGTTTTGCCTTAGCTGTCCTAGTTCTAAGGCTATAAGTGAGTGTTGAATTACATGGTCAGCCCCTAAAAATCCATTAACCCATGAAATACTCATAATTGCTAGGTACATTCTAATACAACTAAATATAGTGCCATTTTAGAAAGAAAAATATAGATTATGACTATGAGGGTGCAGTAGGTTTTCTTTTTTCTTTTCTTTTTCTTTCTTTCTTTTTTTTTCTTTTTTTAAGATTTTACTTACTTATTCATAAGAGACTCAGAGAGAGAAAGGCAGAGACACAGGCAGAGGGAGAAGCAGGCTCCATGCAGGGAGCCTGGTGCAGAACTCGAACCTGGGACCCAAGGATCACACCCTGAGATGAAGGCAAATGCCCAATCGCTGGGCCACCCAGGTGTCCCAGTTTTCTTTTTTCTTTTAAAAAATATTTTAATTACCTGACAGAGAGGGAGCACAAGCAGGGGGAGCAGGAGAGGGAGAAACAGGCTTCCCACTGAGCATGGAGTCCGATGCCAGACTTGATCCCAGGACCCTGGGATCATGACCTGAGCCCAAGGTGGACGCCTAACTGACTGAGCCACTCAGATGCCCAGGTTTTCTTTTTTTAAAGATTTTTTTAGAGCGAGAGCAAGAGGCATGAGAAAGAGCACAAGTGGAGTGAGGGGCAGAGAGGTAGGGAGATGGAGGACTTGGAGCCGAGCCTAGAGCCCCAGTAGGGCTCTATCTCTTCACCTCCCGACCCTGAGATCATGACCTGAGTGGAAACAAAGCGTCCCATGCTTAACCAAATAAGATACCCAGGTGCCCTTACCGGTTTTCTTAAAAAAAGGAACAAAAGCATACATTTTGGAGAAGCCTGTTATAAATATTCCATCTGCCACCCTGGCGATCAGCTGGATCCCAAATTATCATCATCCTGATCATCCTCCTCCTTCGGATTGGTAGGATAAGTTACAGTTTAAAAGCACCTTCCCGGGCAGCCTGGGTGGCGCAGCGGTTTAGCACCGCCAGAGGCCTGGGGCGCAGCTCCCTGCGTGGAGGCTGCTTCTCCCTCTGCCTGTGTCTCTGCCTCTCTCTCTCTCTCTCTCTGTCTCTCATGAATAAATAAGTAAAATCTTAAAAAAAAATAATCATAGATAAAAAAAAAGATTAACTTGCATAAATAAATAAAAAAATCTTTGAGAAAAAAATAAAAGCACCTTCCCACAGTTTATCTCATTTATTCCTTAAAACGAGTCTGGGTAAGATACAGATGCAGTGAAATGCGGGGACACCTGCACCCCGATCTTTATGGCAGCAATGTCCACAATAGCCAAACTGTGGCGGGAGCCTCGGGGTCCATCGAGAGATGAATGGATAAAGACGATGTGGTCCACGGCTACAATGGAATATCACTCAGCCACGAGAAACGACAAATACCCACCATTTGCTCCGACGTGGACGGACCTGGAGGGACTATGCTGAGTGAAATAAGTCCACCGGAAAAGGACACACTTGATATGGTCTCATTCCTTTGGGGAATATAAAAACTACTGAAAGGGAACAAAGGGGATGGAGAAAATGAGGGGAAATATCAGTGAGGGCGACAAAACAGGACACACACCGAACTCTGGGAACTGAACAAGAGGTAGCGCAAGGGGAGGTGGGCGGGCGGCTGGGGCGACCGGGTGATGGGCACTGATGGGGGCACTTGGCGGGATGAGCACTGGGTGTTACGCTATATGCTGGTGGCAAATTGAACTTCAATACAAAAAAATAAAAATAAACCAAAAAACCCCGAGTCTGGGTGATAGAGGGGGATCCAGAGATGAAATGACCTGTCCTCCGGGGTCACATGCTCTCTAGGCCACAGGGCTGGGGTGCACCCCCACCCCCACCCCCACCCCGTCCCTGCTCACCTTCACCACCTTCAGCACCCTCACTTCCTGGTCTAGAACCAGCTCATCACGGAAGCACTGTTCCCGGAAGAAACGCTCGATTCTCTGCCAGGCATCCTTCACTTCCTCCTTCCAGTCCCCCTCGGGCTGGAGGCTCTGCTCCACGAAGGCAAGCAGCTGGTCTGCGGGGGTTTCATACAACCCCTGCAGGAGGGCCATCTCCCCCTGCCCGCCGCCCTCAGCAAGAACTCTCTCGGCGTCTGTCCCTGCCTTTTAAGGCGGCTAGACTAGCCTTGCTCCAGGGGCCGGGGCGCACTTTCTAGGTCTCCGCATGCTGCCTTTGGTCCTCAAATCTGCTTTTTTCAGGGAGTCGTTGCGGCTGCCGTCATTTGGAAACCGAAACTGTAATCTCGGTTCCGGGTTTAGACTGTGGGGGCTTGGGGGGGAGCAGCTCAGCGTGGAGCCAAGCGCCCTCTGGAGGTCACCCACGGAATCTCAGGGCGATCGTTTCCCGGCGTCCCGGAGCCGGCCTCCCCGCCTCCACGCCCACCTCCTGCAGCCTGGAGAGGAGACCTCGCCCCCGCCCCCACCCCCACCCTCACCCCCACCTCCACCCCCGCCCCCGCCGCGGGAGCAGGATTGTGTCTACCCGGGGGGTCAGGAGGTGCTGACGCCTGGGTGGGGGGGGGCGGGGCTTGGGCTGAGCCTGAGAGGTCCTGGGGCCAGGCCCAGGATGAACTGAGCTCTTTCTTTTCTTTTTTTAAATTTATTTATTCATGAGACTCCACAGAGAGAGGCAGAGACGTAGGCAGAGGGAGAAGTAGGCTCTTCGCGGGGCAGCCCCGGTGGCGCAGCGGTCTGGCGCCGCCTGCAGCCTGGGGTGTGATCCTGGAGACCCCGGGATCGAGTCCCACGTCGGGCTCCCTGCATGGACTCTGCTTCTCCCTCTGCCTGTGTCTCTGTGTCTCTGCCTCTCTCTCTGTGTCTATGAATAAATAAATAAAATCTTAAAAAAAAAAAAAAAAGAAGTAGGCTCCTCGCATTGGGAGCGCCATGTGGAATTCGATTCTGGAACCCGGGGATCACACCCTGACCCAAAGGCAGACGCTTAACCACTAAGAAACCCAGGTGTCCCTTGAGGTCTATTATTGCATCTTTGAGAAAATAGAACAGTTCATTTGCCCCTTCAGAAACACTGGGTTTTATTTGTTTTCCAAAGATGCCTTTTACATAGAACTCCTCCCATTTCCCTTATTTATCCTCCTCAATCCGTTTACTCACTTTCCTACATTCCTTGTGTCATCATGCTGGGTCTGAACTTGAAATGTCTTTTCTTATTTACAGATCACTTTGTTGTCATCATCTTTGCTAGCTTGGATTGTGATTTTTTTTTTAATTGAAGTCTTTTCTATAATTGAGTTGTAGTAGTTCTTTATATATTCTAGATACATGTTTCTTATCAGATACATGATTTTCTAATTTTTTCTCTACATTGTGGGTTATCTTTTTTACTTTTTAAATCATGCCCTTTGAATCACAAAAACTTTTAATTTTGCTATGTCCAATTTATGCATGATGGAGTCTTACGAGTTGAAAGTTATTTAGACCTTAAGTCACATCCTCATCAATATTTCAGTCCTATAAATTAAAAGTCAACTGTGAAAGGGTTAGGGAAAGATATAAATTAGTTCTAGATCAAAAAAAGCACCTTAGGGGGCACTTGGCTGGCTCAACTTTTAGAGCATGAGACTCTTGATTTTGGGATTGTGAGTTTGAGCCCCAAACTGGGTATAGAGATTACTTGGAAATAAAATCTTAAAAAAAAAAAAAAGTTCATCACGGACACATCATTCTTCTTTTGAAATCCTGTGGTGGCTTCCTTCCTCCTGTCTGTGGTTAAATTTCAGGCTTCTTCATGTGGTTGTAGATCAAGGTGTCTCTGATTTCAGCGGCCTCATCTCTCACTACACTCCCTCCTGTTCTCACTTCCTGAAACTTCCCAGCCTTCAGACCTTCTTGTGATGAATTTACTACTACGCACCTACCCCCTAATCTGCTGAATCCCACTTGTCCTTTGGGATCCTCCATGAAACCTTCCTCATCCCTGCAGGCAGTAAGCTCAAGTTCAGGTCCAGTTCCTGGAGCAGACAGTGGTGATGAATGAATGATACATGAAGACAGGGATAGTGTTTGCCTGTCTTGCTTCTCTCAGAGCATCAGAGTATTCCCTAGTTATTTTTTTTTCTTATGTTCATTTTTTTTTCTGTTTTCATGGTATATCTTTTTCTCATCTTTGAATTTTTTAAATTAATAGACTCTTTAAGAGCAGTTTAGGCTTATAGAAAAATTGTTAAATAAATGGAGTTCCCATGTACCTCATCTTCCTCACTTCCCACACACAGACAGACCTATAATTAATATTTTCATTTGTGTGGCACACTTGCACTTGTTATAATTGGTGAATTGATATTGAAGCACTATTATTAACTAAAGTTCATAATTTACATTAGGATTCACTCAATGCACTGTACGGTCTGTGGGTTTTGCGGAAGGCATGGTGACAGGTATCCACCATTACAATATCAGACGGGATAGTCTCTCTGCCTTAAAAATTCCCTGTGCTCCAGTTGCTCATCCCTTCCTCCCTCTCCCTAAACCCCTGGCAACCACTAATCCTTCTACTGTCTCCATAGGTTTCCTTTTCCAGAATGTCCCATAATTGGAATCATACAGTTGAAGAAGTCTATTCAGACTGGCTTCTTTCACTTAGCAGTATGTATTTGAGTTTCCCCCCATGTCTTTTCATGGCTTCATATCTTGCTGAATAATATTCCATTGTATGGGTATCCCAGGGTTTGTTTATCCATTCACCTATTAAAGGACATCTTGGTTGCTTCCATGTTTTGGCAATCGTGAATATAAAGCTGCGGTAAACATTCCTGTACAGGTTTGGTGTGGACATAAGTTTTCAGCTCACTTGGATAGATACAAAGGAGCATGACTGCTGAATCATACAGTAAGAGAATGTTTAGTCTTGTAACAAACTGCCACAATGTCTTTAAAGTGCACCATTTTGTATTCCCACCAGGATGTGATGGTGAGCCTCTTTACAGATGCTTACTCACCATCTGTATATTTTCTTTTCTTTGGAGGTTGTCTTCCAGTCTATCTTCTCCTAGCTTTATTAAAATATAATTGACATATAACAGTGCATAAGTTTAAGATGTACAAAGCAACGATTTGATCTACCTACTTATTGTAGAATGATTATTCTAGTAAGGTTAGTTAAAACTTTTGACTCTTTGGAAACCACTAACAATCTACTATTGATCTGAAGCCTTACTGATGACATAAACTGTCAACCAAACACACATTTTGTATATTACATACTGTATCCTTACAATAAAGTAAGCTAGAGAAAAGAAATGTTACTAAGAAAATCATAAGGAAGAGAAAATACACTTACAGTCTTGTACTGTATTTATTAAGAAAAAAACCCTGCATATAGGTGGATGCTTGCAGTCCAAAACCCATGTTGTTCAAGGGTCAGCTGTATTGTTAACAACAGTCATCATGCTGTACTTGAGATTTCCAGAGTCCATTCATCTTATAACTAGAAGTTTGTACTCTTTGACTACCTTCACCCATCCCCCTTCCCCCCACCCTTAGTACTCCTGGTACACCCCCCACTCCTAGTACACCAATGCACTCTGTTTCAAGGAGTTCTTTTTTGTTGTTGTTTTGTTTATGATTCCACATGTAAATGAGATCACACGGTATTTGTCTTTCTCTGACTTTTGTCACTTAGCATAATGTCTTTGAGCTTGATGCATGTTGTTGCAAATGGTAGGATTTCCTTTTCTCATATGGCTGAGTAATAGTCTATTTTATTTTTTAAAAAGATTTATTTATTTGAGAGAGAGAGAGAGAGAGAGAGAGAGAGAATGAGTAGGGGGGAGGAGCAGAAGGAGAGGGAGCACCAGATTCCCCACTGAGCAGGGAGCCCAATATGGGGCTTAATCCCAGGACCCTGAGATCATGACCTGAGCCAAAGTCAGGTGCTTAACTGAATGAGTCACCTAGACTCCCCAATATTCCTTTTAATATATCACTTTCTTTTCTGTTTCTGGATCGTTACTCATTGTAGATTCAAGATGAGGGACCATATCTGTCTCATTGTTGGATCCCCAGTCCCGGTACCATCACAGCCATAAACAGATGCTCCCAAGAAAGATTATTTTTATTTTCTTTCAAATAAACTGTTTTGAAATAAATTTAAAATTGCAGAAGAGTTGCAGGGGTGGCACAGGCAGCTCCAGTAATACCCCCTACCTAGGTTCTATTGTGATCACCTCACGTGACTGGTTATGAAGAAGACAATGTCGTTTTAGTTCCGTTAGCTAAACCCCAGACTTGATTTTGCCAGTTTCCCCTTTAATGTCCTTTCCCTGTGCAGGATCCAACCTAGGACACCATGTTGCATTTAGTTGTCCTGCTTACCCAATGTCCTCTCGTCTGGGACAGCTTCTCATTCTTGTTTTCCGTGACCTCGATAGACAGTTTTGAAGGAATGTGCTGGTCAGCTATTTTGTTGCAGGAGCCTCAATTTGGGTTTGTCTGATATTCTTGTCATGAGTAGGCTGGGAATATGGAATTTTGGAAAGAATACCACAGCGGCGAAGTGCTTCTGTGCCTTCCCATCCCATCTCAGTTGGGGGTGCATGAGATTCACACAGCATTACTGCTGACTTTGATCACTGAGTGACTTTTGTCACTCAGTTAAAGTTGTGTGTGCCAGTCTGCTGCCCCAAGTCACTGTTTCCCTCTCTACACTCTGTTGTTTGGAAGTGTGCTCTAAATCTACCCCACCTTTGGGGTAGGGGGTGGGGAGGATTTTCCTTCACCTCCTGAAGTGAGGAGTCTATTCTTAGGAATTCTTTTGTTTTTTCTTTTTTAAGATTTTATTTATTCATTCATGAGAGAGACAGAAACATATGCAGAGGGAGAAGCAAGTTCCCCGTGGGGAGCCTGATGCAGAACTCAATCCCAGGACCCCAGGATCACGACCTGAGCCAAAGGCAGTTACTCAACCACTGAGCCACCCAGGTGCCCCTATCTGGAATTCTATTAAAGCAAAATTAGCCTTTTCTCCCCTATTTGTTCATTTGTTTATATCAATATAAACTTGTGTATATTTATTTCATATTTTGGTTATAGTCCAATGCCGTATTATTAAGAAATCTTTTTGAGTGACAAAAAAAAAATAAATGAATTAAAGTATCTCCACAATGCTCTGAGGTTGGTACCATTATTATGTCCACTTTACAGGTGAGGAAACTGAATCTTAATGTCAAAATGGCACAGGCCAGATTTGAATCTGTCTGGGTCAGGCAAAAATTGCTCCAGCTTGCTTGCAGGAATTGTCTGCTGGATAACAAACAAACACTTTCCTCTCTCTAGACTTCAGAGGATCCAAACACATCCAGGCCTCCCCTTCTCAATTATCTTCTTCCCTATCCCTTACCCCAATTTGCTCTATTAATTAATTTGTACTTTTATAAAGCTTCTC